ATTGTGTTCAGCACCAAGGACAGGTATGCTTGCTTGTTTGTAGATTTCAGTGCCAAGGACAGGTATGCTTGTTTTTGTGTGGATTGTGTTCAGCACCAAGGACAGGTGTGCTTGTTTGTGTGTGGATTGTGTTCAGCACCAAGGACAGGTATGCTTGTTTGTGTGTGGATTGTGTTAAGCACCAAGGACAGGTATGCTTGTTTGTGTGTGGATTATGTTCAGCACCAAGGACAGGTATGCTTGTTTGTGTGTGGATTGTGTTCAGCACCAAGGACAGGTGTGCTTGTTTGTGTGTGGATTGTGTTCAGCACCAAGGACAGGTATGCTTGTTTGTGTGTGGATTGTGTTCAGCACCAAGGACAGGTATGCTTGTTTGTGTGTGGATTGTGTTCAGCACCAAGGACAGGTATGCTTGTTTGTGTGTAGATTGTGTTCAGCACCAAGGACAGGTATGCTTGTTTGTGTGTGGATTGTGTTCAGCACCAAGGACAGGTATGCTTGTTTGTGTGTGGATTGTGTTCAGCACCAAGGACAGGTATGCTTGCTTGTTTGTAGATTTCAGTGCCAAGGAAAGTTATGCTTGCTTGTGTGTGGATTGTGTTTAGCACCAAGGACAGGTATGCTTGCTTGTGTGCGGATTGTGTTTAGAACCAAGGACAGGTATGCATTAATTATGTGTGGATTGTGTTTAGCACCAAGGACAGGTATGCTTGCTTGTGTGTGGATTGTGTTCAGCACCAAGGGCATGTCTTTCTATGTTAATTGCATTTTGTTGTATGGCGCTGTTAAAATAAGTTATATACTTGAGTGCAGCGCCACGCTGTCCTTGTTACATGTACTGTTTTGTTTTGTGTCGATGAATAAAATAAGGAGTTCCACGACATCGTGCCTTTGCCAATAACGTTAGTGCGGTTGGGTTGTTACATTGTACTTTGGAGCCACAATTGATAAGGTCCACCTATCGACTTCATCAAAAACTGCAGAGAAACGGTTCATCAATACCACATACATGTAGTGATCTCCAACGACATGTATGGTTCAGCTTCTATTACACATGTTTTAATGGATTATTTTGGGCCTTTCTCGTGGTGATTCGGTAGAAGCAAAAAAAAAATGCCACACCAATTTAATTTGTTGCTTCTCAGATTTTTTTCTGAAAAGAAAAAGAAGGGACAGGGCAAAAAAATATTGAAAACAGGTCCAGGCATCCTATTATAGCCCCAAAATGCTTCGATAGGAGCCATGAAGTCAACACAAAAGGCTGGGTTAAAATTTGAACAATGAATTTTGAACTTTTAATCAAACCACTGCATTGAAAGATGGAACAACTGTATCAACTTACATGTAGGAAGAAAAGGACTTTCCTTAGCTGTTGGGGGCAAAATATGAGCATTTTAAGTTCATTCAGAACCATTTTTTTTTCCAATCAGAAAAGAATGAAAAGGCAAATCCGAGAAACAACAAATTAAATTGGTGTGGCCTAAATATACAAAATCAAGTCATATGTCTAATGCAGTCTAATACAAGTAAAATCCTACATAAATATTATGTGTACATATGTACATGTGCTTTAGGCCACATCAATTTAATTTCTTGGTTAACGGATTTTTCTAGAAAAATAATGGAGAGGGCGGGCGAAAAAAAAATAAAATAAAAACAGGCCTAGGCATCCTATTATGGCCAAAAATGGTACAATAGGAGCCATAAAGTCAACACACCAGGCTGGTTCAAAATTTAAACAATGAATTTTGAACTTTTAATGATACCATTGCATTGAAAGATGGCATAACTAACAACTAGGATGAAAAGGACTGTTTTGAACTGTTCAGGGCAAAATATGAGCATTTTGCAGTTGATTCTGAATTTTTATTTTTATTTCATAATCAGAAAAAAAATGAAGTGGGCGAATCCGTTAACCAATAAATTAAATTGGTGTGGCCTTGGGCAAAAATGTGATGTCGTTGACAGAAAATGTTTGCTTGTTCTGTATCATAGGCTGGTTCTAGCTATTTATGGGTGGTACCCAAAAAAAAGAGGGGTCTCACATACATGGAGCCTTTTTTTGCAGCTATTCTAAGCGCTTTAAGAATGAAGTGATGACGAAAATGTGTTAAGTGATGGAAAAAAATGCCAATATCGGACAGATTTTAAAATTATTTCTTGTTTTGCTGCCATGAAATTGCATTGGCTGCCATGCGAGCATAAATTACACAGGTACTACTGCGATTTACATCAGTCACAGCTTGGAGATGAAACTACTAATTATGCACTGAAAGTGTACAAACAAAATAATGTAATAATATAATAAGAAAATCATGTTCATATCAAGAAATATGAACAAGTTTCACAGAAAGTAACATGTATTGATTAAATCAATCATGTCCCCACCCTCATAATATTGTAAATTACTGGATGACAGAGAAAAAAAAATGATCATGAAAACATTCTATGAATTCTGACCTACACGGCCCTACATGTTTGGTGGCTCACTGCCCAATGCCAGTCACCTAACACAAGTACATGTAGGAGTAAAATTTACATCATAGATATTCTTAATTACAAGTAGGTTATTAAATCTGGTATGTACACTATGGAAGTTGCTCGAGCATAGAGAAAAAACAAAAACTACATTGTAGTCTCAAGGCTTATAAACTTCTTCATAAAAGGAAAATGGATATTTTTTTCTCACTGGTCACCTAAAAGTTGGAAAGACATTACAAGCTTGAATTCACACAAATATCTCTTCAACTATGTTTTGGATGACAAGTGTTATGACACCACTGTATCAAAAAATTATTTCTTTTCAGATGACATTCAAGCAAGAATCATTTATTGTACAAGTACTTTGTGTATCTTGTACTAAATGTCATTTTTCCAAAACCCTTGAAATTTTTTAACTTTCCAAATTCAAAGTGTTGATCATTTTCTTGTTTTACTAGTAACATTTCTTTCCTATACTGACATGGGCAAAACTATATTGTCTACTGTGCATGGCTACTTACAGAAACTGTAAAATGTCACAGAGAAATCTTGTCAACATCTTATGAAATCTTACCACGAGAAAAGAATCATCGTCTCTACTCTGTGTCTTCATCCCAAAAGTCACACTTTGGGAAAAATTGGTTCTGTACAATGTCTACCTATATCATGTCTGAGTCCCTCAACCATCCTTTAGTTACCAAATCAACACATACTGACTGTCCAGTTTGCAGCTTTGCACAGCTGTCATACCTACATATAGCACGTCGGCAGAACGTACTGCGCCTGCGCAGAACCCTGGATTTTCGCTGTTTTCCTTGGATTTTTGGTCAACGTTGCATCAGAATTTTGACTGTTGCAGACGATATTTTTTCCGACATAACATTTGAAAACTACTGTCGGAATGCTAACCTTATATGAGCAAATACAACCTTATATGAGACGTTCTGCCGAAGTGCTATGCGCAATACATTACGGGTTTTGCGCAGGTGCAGTACGTTCTGCCGACATGCTCCTAGTAGGCTACATATATTGTACATCTACAACATTGGATGAAACCCACCCCAAAACTTCTAAACCATTTGAGTCACCAGGACGTACAAATAAGGGAAAATTTGCCTTCAATAACTAAAAAAATAATAATACTAACAGTTGAAGAAGTACAGTCGATATCTTTTTAATAATTTGTCATCGATCCGATCACCATGATACACAAATAATTTACGTTTACAACCCACCCACCAACTCGAAAGGAGAAAAAGAAATATGGTGAGGAAAAGTTCTCCGTAATAGTTATCAGTGATGTTTTTGTAGAAAAATTCAGTAATTTTATCTCTTCAATAAGTGACAGTTTTGACCTTAGTGAGTCCCACCATATTACTGATATTTCCCCAGTATTTTAAAACAGGATGTCACAATTTTGTAACTAAGAGAAATCAAAATCAAAATTAGATGACAGCAAAATTACACGAAAAAAACAAAGCCATCGCCCACTAGTATAATCACGAAAGTTAATATGAGACTTGTATTACATTAAATTAATATATGTATCTATAGTAAACGTTTTGATGCATGCATTCCCCTAGCAGAATGACTGTGTGGAAATGCAAGAGCTATTTTACACTGCATTGGAGATGAAACAAAACTTTTAGGGTGCCTGTTGATGTAAATAGAAGCAGATGTAAGGGGAAACAACTCTGCCAAGAAAAAATCTTACACAAAATCCTTCAAACTTTACACCAACAGGCACATGAAATATTTTTTCTCCGGCAAACCTGTGTTTAGATCTAGCAAGACTAATTTTCCTGTTTTTTTAGACATGGCTGGTGAAATCTCTCAAAAACATTGCAGAATTTTTTCTCTACATATCGGCAAGGTACTGCAAGATAGCAAGCACGCTCTTCTCCTATAATACAATAATGGATTGCAAATTCCCGCGTTATAAGCCTACCATAAAGTTTGGTACCAGCCAGTGTGTTCCCTCCAAACAACTGCACACTTCTGAATGAAATAGCAAATTATGATTGTGTCAAACTCAAACTGTTTCCCAGTCAGGGTTTTCCCAAGATTATTGTTGGTCATTGCAGTAGCGTGCGTAGTCCGGTGGTAAGCGATCCTGCCTCTGGACTAAGAGGATGGGAGTTCGAATCCCGGCTGTTGTCGCTCACCCGACATGCACGCTACTGTTTAGGGTCGCAGTCCTACGGACGGGACGTTAAGCCGTGGTCCACTGTTCATTGCGCTTGTCGAAAAGAGCTAGGGGAATTTAACCGGTACAATGAACCTGTAAATACTGTACATAACGTCTGTCTTCTCTGTCACGACCAGTGGAAGATTAGCTCTTCGTTGAGCTATGTAATATATCTCCAAGCAGATCATACGGTGGCAAGGCAGTATCCATTGGATAGAGGAGTGTCCATTAGCCACTACTCTGGCCAATGGATACTGCCTTGCCACCGTATGATCTGCTTGGAGATTACACTCAGGGGACTGACAGTTACTTGGGAAAACCTAATTTCCTAGTACTTGTGACTGGAAAACAATTTTGCAGCAGAAAGAAAAAATGGATTAAAAGTGAGAAGGATGCATGTGTGAGTAGGCCTATGATTGAACTTTATACATATACAGGTGGCTATAGAGAGAGAGGAGAACACACTGGTCAGTATTTTAAAACATGATTTGATGTAAAATACAATTTTTCTTTTTCAGCATAACGACATGTACAGCTACTTGATAAAAGCAGCCACCGTCCCCCACATGACTTCGTTGGCGTTTGGCTTCATGCACTCCTGTTCGGGGTCCAGATCCAGCAGTTCCCGTACCCTCTTCATCGCCACCTCGTAGTCGTCGTCCGACAGCGGGGCGAACGCGTTCTCCAGCACGTCCGAGGCGTGCGCCATGTAGATGAGCCCCAGCAGGCGTTTGTCCATCCTGTGGGGGTCATTAGTCCATTTGCTGAGCACGGCGTCCTGAACTTTCTTGATGAGCTTCTGCTTGGAGGAGCTGTTGACCAGGGGGTGCGTGGTCATGTCGAACAGGAGGAAGTTCTGCTTCTCGGTGGTCAGGACGCCCTTTTCCACCAGGTTCTTGGCTAACCTCTCCCGCACGTTCCGCAGCTGGTAGTGCAGCTTCAGGGGGTTCCAAGTCTCCCCTGCAGGGGCGAAAGGTCAACATGTCAATAACACGTCCCGGAAGCTGCAGTAGAAGGGGAGACACCATTGAAAGGGTTCTCCATTGAAACATATGCTAAATCAGACATTAAAATGGGCATCATATCTCTAGTTTACGAAGTTTTTGTCACACAAACTCACCTTCACGTGTTAGCCAATTTAATAATATGTACCTACAACAAGTTTCGGAAAAAAGTGGACGGTGATTCTCGAGGTACAGCCTTGTTTATAAGAATCCATGCACTTTGACCCCATATTCTAGGTCGATACCAAGGCACTTAGGCAGGAGGGGTGTATGGCAACAGACATTAGCCCATAACAAGGCAATTTCATGAAAAAACTTCATTTTTTTTGCAAAAACTTTCACTCACAACCCTACACAGTACAATCCACCACAAAAATGCCAAGAATTCAACAAAAATACCACCCAAGAAGGGTTTTTAATGTTCTTTAGCTCATTTTAATTTTGAGGTCTCTCACCCAATTTACTTAGTGTTGGCTAGAACATTTAGCCCTTTTGGTCATAATGTCAATAAACTTTCCCATAGACTGAAAGGCTTGGGCTGCTATTCTTTATGCCCTTGGGAAAGGCACTTTACACAACTTTCCTCACTCCACTTACTGGCCAGGTGTGAATGGGTTCCTAACTTCAGTTGGGGAAAATCGTAATAACCTTGTGGCGCTGAATGGCAGCCGCACAGACCGTTAGATCTCCCTCTGGCCGCAATAAGTAGTACTACACACTGAACAGCTAGGGAATGTAACAAGACATTACCATGCCAACCAAACCAAACAATGAACTTTCCTGTAAATACTCCTACTCTTTGTCTCTCACCCACAGAAGACCTCAAAGCCTCTTAAACCACACCAATTTAATTTCTTGGTTAACGGATTCGCCACTTCATTTTTTTCTGATTTGCAAATAAAAATAAAAATCCAGAATCAACTGCAAAATGCTCATATTTTGCCCTGAACAGACCTTTTCATCCTAGTTGTTACAGTTATTCCATCTTTCAATGCAATGGTATCATTAAAAGTTCAAAATTCATTGTTTAAATTTTGAACCAGCCTGGTGTGTTGACTTCATGGCTCCTATTGTACCATTTTGGGCCATAATAGGATGCCTAGGCCTTGTTTTTTTTTTTTTTTTCGCCCGCCCGCTCCATTATTTTTCTAGAAAAATCCGTTAAGCAAAAAATTTAATTGGTGTGGCCTTAAGTTTCCAGAAAAACTGCTTTCTCAGTTGAAGGTCATTTTTTTTCTCTTTTGTTCTGGCCATCATTGAGAAGCCTTCATGGTTCATGAAGGTTCTGATCACATTGTTCTCACATTACCATCGTGATGAGGTGGGCAGGAGATCTGGTAGCCATGTCTGGATCCGCCAATTGAACCTCAATGAACACATTGTATGCACTGTGTCAACGGCTGCTGACAGTCATTCAAATTGTTTATTTCAAAACAACTTGCTACCAGAAGGAGAGCCAATAATTGCTAGCGGGGAGCTTACCATTAATATCAGAGTCTACCAGAGCTACAAGGCAAGTATCTGTATCTGTATCAGTATAGCCGGTATAACCGCCCATCGGCGTAACACACCAGCTTCGCAGGCAGCTAGCTATATCACACTGAACGACCTGTTACACTCAATCTTTGTACATTTAATTGCAGGAGTTGTTAAAAGCTTTCTAGTGATGATGCCCCAACTGTGCTTGGTGGCAACAAGTTCCAGTCTACGATAGTTCTGGGGAAATACGAGTTTTCGAACACCTCAATTCTTGGTTGATATTAACTCTGTTATTTGAAGGCGTGACTGTTTCTTGTTCTTTTCTGTGCTGGTATCAGGTTGGGACAGTTCATTCTCAATTTGGGACAGTTATTGAAATTTATTTTCGTGACAGTGCTGCGGCAATAAGAAAAAAAGTTAATGTTAAGGCCTGAGTCAAAAAATGTTGCCAAGGTCCAGTCACTTCAGTTCAATGGTTCCCCGTTACCGATACGTTGTAGGTGATACTCCACAGGTTCTGTACCTAATGAAGATTGAGTATCAGAGTCTGTTCTTAATTAATTTGTGCATTGATTTTGGCACAAAAATGACATTTTTTTCAGTTAATTTTACAGAAATTAAAGAGGTTAAAGAAACAAAAACTAAGTTGGTCTTGTGGCTAAGGGATAATATGCTTTAATCACTTATACAGTTCTGTTGCCTCCAAAGAGAAGGTTGCTAGATGTGCAGCCTCAAATGGGAACCCAAAACAAACTAGGATGTGCCCCCTTCAAAGTTTCAACTAATATTAATAATAAGTAATATTGCTAACAATTAACAAAGTACAGTATACGTACCGCTAAGTAGTTCGACCCATGTCTGAATGTTCTCTGGTGGGTCTGTGTCCTTCACGTGTTTGACAGCCTCGTCCAACATGACGTCACCCGTCGGGGAGTCGCTTCTGTAGACCAGTTTCCTGTTGAGGAGGCTTTTTCTCCTCATGCCGATCTTCTCCAGCTCGACGCGCCCCTTCAGCCCCAGCTCCATGATCATGCAGCCTCGCAGCCCCGACGAGATACAGTCATTCCAAAATGACGTGTAACCCTGAGAGGACAAAATAATCAATGAATCAACAAATGCTCCTGCAGTTCCAGAACAAGCCGCTATGGGGCCCAAACTCATGTCACTTCTTCCCTATCCCAAGAGCTATCTACCAACCAAAATTCGTGACCCTAGCATGTCCAGATCGCGAGATATCAAAACCGGAAGTTCTGCTGCAGTACCAACAAAAGCCGCCAAGGGGGCCAAAATCTAATCATTTCTAGGTCTCATCAAGACCTACCCACCTACCAAGTTTCATGACAATGCATATTAAGCTTCTTGAGTTATGTTGTTCACAAATGGACAGATGGACAAATGCTACTGAAAACATAACCTTCTTGGATAAGGTAATATTAATTATTATACAATTATTTTGAGAATACAGAAAGGAACTAGAAATGCGTATTGCTTATAGCAAATTTAAGAATGCCCTCATTAATTATGCAAATTAGATTCCATTCTGATTTGCATGATTATTAATTATTCATGTCAAGCATAACTTCCACTACCTAGTATGTAACATACAAAAACTCTGTCAACCGATAAACCTCCTTCGAAGATTTTTCCATAAACTCTCCTGCAATTCCAGTACAAGCTGCCAGGGGGGGCTAAACTGATCATGATACTTAGTACCAAGCACAAGAGCTATCTACCATGCAAAATTTGTGACCCTAGCAATAGCATGTCTAGACCATGAGATATCAAATTTCAAAACCAAAAATTCTGTTGCAGTACCAAGGAAAGCCACCAGGGGGCCTTAAATCTAGTCATTTCTAGATTTGGGGCCACCCTACCCACACACCACCAAATATCATTAGATTCCATTCATACCTTCTTGAAGTATGCTGAACATTCACAGATCACAACCATACAAACACTACTGAAAACATTCTTGGCAAAGGTAATTACCAGCACCAAGCAAATTTTGCCTACACCACTTACTGACTTATTTAATTTAGTACTAGTAATATACATAAGGATCACATGAAAAAGTGTTCAGAAACAATTTGCCATAATGATTATTTCTTTTACAGTTCATAGGTTGTAACAGTTAATACAGCAAATCAAAATCGACATTCACCTTCACATGCAAACTCATGATCAGTTTAAGGACCGGTGCAGGTTATGTGCAAATACTGATATTGTCAGTGATAAACTAGACATCAGAATTACCTACTAGTACACAGCTCCAATTTTAACTGCACTGAGGTGCATATGCAAAATTACTCATCAAAAACCCAAGCAATTATTCTAATCTAAACTAATGAAGTCGAGAATATTTCTAGGAATGACCAAACAATTCTAACAGTTGTCTGGAACAGTTGATTCTAAAGGACAGTAGTCTGGCTCTGACCAAGTGGCAGCCATAATTTTGGACTGTGTACACTGACTGAGATTACAGCAATGCCATACCTTGATTACATCAGCCTACTAGTACTAGACTTTGCTGAGTACATGTAGGTCTAACATCCTGCATGATGTTTCAAACTGATAAAATACATGTACTGTAATTCACTTTATGTTCACGGTAGCAAAATTTCACGGTCTGAAAAAAATGGACATGTTCACGGAACTATATGTTCACGGTGGTGCCAGGTGTAGGAAAAAGAAAGTCCAGGAATTATTTGTTAACTGTAATGATAAGTTCACTGTACAGAAGCAACAGTGAAAACAGTGAACTTATCAGTACAGTGAACAAATCAGGAATTACAGTATATTACGAGCTGCTCAAATTTAACTACTGGTAAAACTGCTTGGAAACGTGAGACATGTGACTGTGATAGATCTTAGATGTTCTAACTTCCGAGTTTTGAAGTAAATCTGTCCATGAACTGGCATGGTGGCGGAACCTGGCATTTAAATTTCACTTAAAGGTAGTAGTAAATGTACAACTGAGTGTGCTTCTAGTGTAGATTGTAATTGCCTCATTGATGTCAATAATTGTTCTTTTCACTGATACATTGAATAAGGTTAGACATCCAGGTCATGACTCATGAGATGCACAAAAGATAGTTTAACTTACTCTATCAAGCAACAGTGTACAGATTTTGAATGTGTTCTTTTCACTATGGCAAATTTTTACACTTTGGAACCAACAGCACATTACATTTACAAAGATTTTCTCAAAGAGAATTACAACTGGTCACCTTTCACCTGTAGTCTGACCTTTCAAAAGTATTAGAGGACAAACCTGTTTGACAACTTTCTACAAATGACGCAGTAAGCCACAGACTTCCAAGTCAGTAATTAGAAGTAATTAAAGCCATGACGCACATCGACTACTAGTCTCTACCAGACTCCTTTTGCAGGCTGAATAAAGTGAATAGATAGTAAAAATTGGCCTAAAAAGGGGGTATCATTGGCCAGGCTGGGGTCGTGGGGTTGTATGGCATAGCGGTTAAGCGTCCTTGGCTTGGGACCAAGAGGTCCCAGGTTCGAACCCCACCTTGTCATTGTCAACAATCTTGTGCCCTTGGGAATGGCACTTTACACAACTTTCCTCACTTCACTCAGGTGTAAATGATTACTTGCCTCGGTTAGGTCAATAAGGATGTCCCTCAGATTGGATGTTAGATGGAGGTCCTGTGTTTGGGGAGAGCCACATCCCATGCACGGTAAAGAATCCACTACACCTCTTGAAAAAGAGTACGAGTAGGGGCAAGCCCTGGTGTGCGATGGTACAAAACTTAGTATCACAGTTGGTGAGTCACTACAAATCACCCGGATGGAGGCCTGACAAACCCCATCTCGTACTAGCCACAAAAGCCAGCAGAATCTTCAACTAAGTTATAGTTGATGGTGGCTGCCTCAAATTGAAAGAAGAAAAAGGCTGCAAAGGAGTCTGGTGGAGACTACACATCAACATCGCTGGGCTATCTACAGCCTCAGTCCTCGGACTTGGACTCGCAGCCCGATGTTAAAAAACAAACTTGACAGCTTATGCATGGTTATTCTTTTGAGTCAGAAGAAACTGCCAAGAGGCCAAGTCTTTGTGTGACACTTGTTAAAAATGCCATCCAGTGACTAAAATATAATCTTATTTGGATTTCGTTATATTTTCACTTTTTTTCTTTTGTAGGTCATGCGATCTCAATTACATTTTTGTATACAATATGAACTTGGGGTCCATATTGTTGGATTTTACACATGTTAAAAAAGATATACAATTGATATTAGTACATGTATACATTTCATTGGAATAATTTTTTCCACACGTTAGTTATTCCTGTTTTAAACTTTCCAGGTTTCACTGACATTCTACTGTAATTCATTTGGTGCACCCCAATTTTTTTTGTTTGGGGGGGGGGGCACCCAATTTTTTAGACCCAAAAATGATTTTCGACCCCTGACGTACTAAAAATTTTGCATACAAATGCTACGAAAATTATAACCTTTCTTGGCAAAAGTAACAGCCCCACAGTGGCCCACACTGAGATATTTTTTGAGAAAACACAACAGTGGGAGTTATCTGATCGTGACAGATATAACATCTTTATCTATATCCTTTCCCGAACAGAACCGGACATAGCTATGTTGTGGTTGCGTCAAAAGGCCCACCACCACGCATCGGTACTACTACGTAACACAGACAACATAACCAGTTTTACCCCCATCGGTGTATCAAATCATCAACAGGCAATTTCAGGTAGCACTGTCCGTCTAAATGGCAGCAACAGACGCCGTGTCACGACAAATTCGATTATAGTAGACGGGGGAGCACACCTAATGCCTAAAATCTGCACAGACCTTACCTGGTGCCAGGTGGCATCGTTACTTAGAACCTTACGCCCCCTCCCCTTATTTAGCACTACGATGGCGTATATTTTCAACCGTTACTTCCTCGTAACTACGACGCAACGGCGCGGGGTGCTGTGAACCTAGACTCGAGCCGTGCGTAGGAGGGACGGTGATGTAGTGTCAGACAAACCTCTCTGTCTTTCAGGCCGAGTAGCAAGACTTCTTCCATAAGAGTTAGCCGGGTGTCCTTCGATGAATCGCTATCCTCTTCGAATTCCGGTTCGATCACCTCTCTCTCGATCTCTCTCCCGCCTTCCGCGCCCCTAGAAGCGTCTGTCCGCCTCTGCACGAGCCCGGACGAGCGTTGTTGCAAGCTCGTCATTCTGACGGACTGCTAAAAATGCCTAATTTTCACTAGAAAAACACCGAATTATTCCGACAACTGGACTCCTGCACAGACAAGATGGCGGCGCTCCAGGGAAGATGTGATGACGTAATCAACCTGCCCGACAGGTTCCGAGCAAGTCCGGAGATTGCCGAGCATTGCCGGAAAATAAATGAAAGTAAATTTTTCCTGGCAGATTCATTTCCAAAACCACAAAAGTTTCCAAGAAGAAAACAATTTTCTGGAATAGAAATTTACTGAATGTTTAACTGTACAGAGAAGTTTTAATCATGTTTGCAAACTTTCGATGCAAACCAAGTCTCGCGATTCGCGAGATTTGGACGGTGGTCTCGTGTAGCGCGAGAGGTCAGCAGTTGCCAGGTAGTCAAGGCAAACAACCTGATCAGGTGTTGATAGGGATACCTTTACACTTAGTTTGTCGTCAAGATCTGTTGAATATTTAGACCTAAGGAACCATGGCGAATGTCAGGACCTACAGTCCGTCCGTTCGAGTTGGGAACTGGAACGAAGATCTCTGTCTTGAAGAGGTGGGTGGGTCTGTTCAACTTTGTCTGTTGTTGCCTTGTGGAATCACCTGTCTTATATCGTCATGATTCGGCGTCTTACTGAAAACTAGTTCACAACTTTCACCTCTAGATTTCTTATAGAAACTTACGTCGGTTAACTAAACCAACTGCAGTGTATCAGACAAATATGTCATTATAACTGTTGTAAAATGTATTTCCAAAAAGAGAGCGATGGTGATTTGTTATGATGTTTATGAATAAAGCTGATGATGGTTTGAGAATCAATTATGCAAATCTAATTGATATAAAGTTAGCAATAACAATGTGGTGACTGTTTTCTGTTCATATCAATTATTATCAAATACACACTAAATATTAACATCCGTGTCCATAATATCACCAGGGTCCATAGTATCGCCACCTTGAGAAATAGTGTGTTTTAAGATATTTTTACTGCAACATACTTTTGGTATGCACTCCTTCACACATCAATGTACATACCTAGGGTAATTGTTGCAGTAATGATATCTTTAAGCACACTATTTCTCAAGGTGGCAATATTATGGACCCTGGTTATATTATGGACACGGATGTTATATTTATAAGCCCATTTAAGACTCAAGAAAAACGTATCGTTCAGATTGTTTAATTTTCCTCACTTTTCAGGATACACTGAAAGACTTCCTGGACAAAAGAGACTCAGGAGACCTTCTAGTTCAGAAGACACACAACCTGCTTCAGAACACTCTTAGGAAGGTAAGCCACACTTCAACTATCAGGTAAAATATTAAAGTTTACGTAATTATAAGGACGTGTTATACGCTTAATTAATTACAAACTTATGAGCATTATACTCAGCTCTCGAATTTGTTGTTCCAATAGCTGGGTTTTGAATGAATTTTAAACTTTATATTTTGAAACCAAGCTGCGTGGTCAAATGTGTTTCTCATTTGTCATACGGTACTGGACAACACTATTTCCCCTTAGACATAATCTATTTTACTATACACTGTGAGAGTTAATTGTGTACCGAACAAAACCTTTTTTCCTAAAGCCTTGGTCACAACCCGCCGTACGTGCTTGTGTGTGCTGTCTACGTGCAAAAACGTAGGGCATCCGTGCGTTGTGAGTACCGCCTCTGTACGGGATCCTACGGATTCGGGAGCACGCAGACACGCTGTAGAAATTTAAGTACATGTAAAACTTTTAATGCGTGCGGTCTGCGGATTCACCATCCGTACGTGCGACGCGCGTGCCCTGTACAGCCTATGAGCGTACAACGCACGTTTTCAGAAAAAAATGTACGGACAAAAGCACATACGGCGGGTTGTGACTGAGGCTTAAGAGGGGTGAAAGAGGCTATTTACATCAGGGCCCATCACCCTTCACTTAACCATGACGGGGCCGACATCATCTACCAGATACCTTTGATACCAGTGTTGACGTCACACTTCAAAGAAGCCACGTGACAAGTTTCACTGGGTCAGTCTACTGAGGAAGACCAGAGTGACTGGTCGAAAGCTCTAAGGTGAGAGAACTTTGTGTCGAATCAAAAGTTTCAACTTTGAACGCTATTTCCCCAGGTTGACCTGTCTGTGACCACGGACGGGCTGCTGCACTTTGGCGACACGGTGATGATCGTGAACCCCGGGGCGGAGCGTAACGACGTGCGGGACATCCGCCAGCGGGACCTGACCGCGCTGTGCCTGAACATCAGCGAGTACAAGGCACACCTGGCTGCGCAGGTGGAGGCACCCTGTCCTGTCTCTGCCTCACGGATCATCAAACCCTGCATCAGGAATGCCTTTGTTATCACTAGGTGGGCACTTTTGATAATTATTGGAAGATATATATGTATGTACCATAAATAATTTCATCAGGTTGGTAAACGACTGAATAGCAAAGTTCTTTTTTTTACAACCATTTATTTTTCACTAGCCGACGTTTCGATGACCGTCTGTCATCTTCATCAGGGCAATTCTGACTGGTTAACAGAAAAAATAGCTTAAGTGCACTATGAACTATGTACTAAGTATGCACCAAGTAATTACATCTAGTGTCAGTGCACAGTAAACCAGTCAGAATTACCCTGATGAAGATGACAGACGGTCATCGAAACGTCGGCTCGGTTGTGATAAAAAGAACTTTGCTATTCATACATGTATGTAGTAAAATGCAAAGCAAACTTAAGCATCATAAATTGTCAGTCAAAGAAGTAAAGCTAATAGCTTTTGTTAAAAATGGCTTCACCTAATCTCCCACAGTTATCTAATCCCATAAGCTATCACAAGAGAGAACTCAGGTTAAGCCAACTGGCAACTTCAGTGTGCTAAAGGTTACATATGTTGAAACTTTGTACTAAGCCAGTCTAACTGACTAACGAAGCTGACTAAGCTTGAAAGTGCCATAGCACTGGTTACCAAACTTTTTTTTTAGCTGCCAACTTTAGTGCCAATTTTCTTTGGTCCTTTCCTTAATTTGCGGAGAGGGCAAAAGTGACTTGGCAGTTAAAATTAGGTTTGGAAACTTAAGGCAGCTTAAGTACTAGTATAGTAGGCTTGCTGGTGATACAAAATGTTGCTTTCTTCACAATTCACTGAATTGCAGAAGGCACCAATATGGTGAACACTCACTAATGTATTGTGCTATGGTACAGATACGCTCTTGATCTCTGTTAGTTTCTAAATTTGTATACATTCTACACTGGACAAAGTATATTCCTAAATGCAATATGAGCCGGCTTCTGTTTTCTTCTAATACTAAAACGTGACTCTTAATTTTCTATTTTCCCCACATCACCAGTGTTGATGGAAGCCCCCATGGACAGCCTCTCCGGTATGGACAGGACTTTGCACTCAGCACCACGGAGGGGTACGCTGGAAATGTGAGTCATGTAACAAGGAAGTCATCTTATGAAAAAACTTAAACTTTTCTTCAACTCAAAATTTGACTCTCCAGAAATTTTCGACTGAATCACTCAGTCTTCCTCAGCTATCTGACCCAAATGCTGTGGACACGTGATTTTTCCCACGTGTGACGTCAGCAAAGGGTCAAAGGTTGTCTGAAGTCGATATCGCCCCCCGTCCCGGTTGAGCGATGGTTGAAGTGCCCTGATGTATATGGCCTCTTTTTATGCCTCTCTTGAAGTAAATCCTGTTCGTATCCAAGATTCTGACCCCCTCCAGATCCACTGTGTGTCACACGTGGGAAAAATCACGTGTCCACAGCATTTGGGTCAGATAGCTGAGGAAGACTGAGCGAATCAGTCGAAACTTTCTGGTGAGTCAAATTTTGAGTTGGAGAAAAATTTAAGTTTTTTCATAATGTAATTTACCAACTCAGATGAACTTTCATGCTGAAGGAAGTCATCTTGTGATGAAAGGTTCATCTTATAAAGTATTCAGGCAGGGCTGAGGAATACTGGGTGCATGTGCACCCTCTAGTGCACCCAAGCTATTTCCTGTAGGTGCACCAGTGCACCCAAATATTTTCATAGGTTTACGACTATGTAAAAGTATAGTTACTGTAGTATCAACATATTCTTAACATGTAAGAGAAAAATAATAAAATCATTGTTGTGCTAGCTGTAATACTACCTTTCTTTAGAAATGAAACATTATTAGTTTTTTTTATGACATTCTACTTGATTCTATTTCATACATATGGTGCACCCAAAAAGTTTTTTGTGCATGTAATTGTTTAGGTTGGGTGCACCATTGCACCTATTCTCCAACATGAATTTTGAGCCCTGTTACTGTAAGGTATGACTGCTGTGTTCAGGTCTGGTTGAATATTACGTAAAAGATGACCATAGGATTTTTAGGATGTATTTTTAAGGAGGCCCTTTAGTGTTATCTTGACCCAAATGAGACTATCATCTATTATATTAGCTTTAAATAATTTAATTTTAGTTTAATTTAATTTAATTCAAAGTATATTCATTCAACATGACTGTACCCTGCAGGTGAACCATAATTGACCATTAATTGACAAGTATATATAGGAGTTAAACGTTAACATAAAAAGAACAATAATGATGATGAGTAGAAAAACTTTGCAGATAATTTCTATTTATCTCTCACGTTTCAGTATTCTAAACCAATGATTATCCCTTGAACCCCCAGCTGAAGCTCCACAGCGATCGCGTGTCGTTTCTGAAGTGTGCCAAGAAGTCTCGTCAGCAGGAGGTGTCCCTGGTCTCTGACCTGTCTCACTTCACCAGGTGGAAGACCATCGCGTTCGAGCCTCAACTCAGGATGGAGTACGAAGGACTGCCTGTACAGGTAGAGTTTGTTATGGCTTCACCACGTATATGTGGTGATAAGACATATTATAGTTTTTCCTCCATAATTAATACAAAAATTCTATGATTTCTTAATAGTGAATGATGGGAATGTCATACTTGGGACATCTGTAAGTTAATCAAAAGTTAACATCATGATGCATATATTATGTTAATGCAGAGGTCTTTTGCATAATTAAAGAAGAAATTTACATTTACATATCAAGCCCATATTTCATGGAGGTATGAGATCTCGGAACTCTTGTTCCTCATGTTTCTTCTCCTCTTCCTTCTCCTTCTCCTCCTGCCATTTCTTTAAATTGATTCAACTCCTTCATTTTTGGGCCAAATAACATGAAATTTGGCATGAAGGTAGAGTGGGCAAATACCCCCAGGCATTTTTTTTTAATTTTTGTGATACATGCTTTTAGAATATGGTTTTATTTGAGCTTTTCAACTGTTGTCACTTCATACTATAGTAAAATCAATGTAATGAATTGTTTTCCCTTGTGTTTCTCCTTCTTTCCCTGCCATGTCTTAAAATGTGGGAGCCATCCGCTACATTAATTTGCTCCAAAGCAAATGTTGGCCTTTCTAGTTGATAAAGGTTTAACTAAAGGTTTAAATGTGTAAATGAGTGATTGAGTGAGAAGAAATCAGTGTGTGTGATGTGTGCTCAGTGACACCTATTTTTTTAGCTTGTATCTTTCAGTTAAATTCACTTGAATCTTTTACTTTTGACTGCTTGCAAGCATTTCAGTCAGCCTTTTTTTTTTCTTTGGTATGCCAGCTTCGTACATTTGTATAACATCCGTGTCCATAATATCACCAGGGTCCATAATATTGCCACCTTGAGAAATAGTGTCCCTAAAGATATTTTTACTGCAACATACTTCTGGTATGCACTCCTTCACACATCAAATGTACATACAACCTAGGGTATGTTGCAGTAAAAATATCTTAAAGCACACTATTTCTCAAGGTGGCAAAATTATGGACCCTGGTGATATTATGGACACAGATGTTAACTCACTCACAGTCTACATATTCAAGATAATTTACTTTACATATCTGCTACACTTATTTTGTTGTTTTGCATAATGCATTGTGTTTAGTCAGCATTTTTGGTTACTTTTATTTTCCACCAGGCCAATGTAAAGCTTCTCATCACACACTGCAAGACCCACCAACACCTGAACATTGCACAAGACTATGTCACCAGGTAAGACAACAAACAGTGCTGAAATAAGACCATGTTGATTTGATTATATGGATGACATCCCCTGGGAACCCTAAAACTGATGCGAGCGTGTGAATAAAAAAAAAAAGTTTGGCCCCCTGAAAAGTTGCTTTCATTATGAAATATACATGGTTTTGAAGGTATGGTTTGGTGAATAATCTAGTCTTGAAATTTATTTCTTTGCATTTTCGTCTTTTTCATTTGATTTTGGCATTCTACGACATTCAGGTATCATTTTTCCAATTTTTTTTCAACTTCCGGTATATGTTTGCTCATTTTGCAACTGTTTTGTACATTTTACAGTACAGGTGAAACCTTTTTTTTGGATTGTACAAACTATGAGCTTAGCTTTGTATATTCAAGGCTAATCTAAGTAATCCATTCTCCATGCATGTGTGCCGTGTACAGAACTCCGTTTGGCTATGAGTATGAGGTGACGGCTCACATGGACCTGGACTCTCACCGCGCTGAGAAGGAAACTAACCACTGGGTCATCATCACTGGAACACCAACCGACGATGGAAGAACTATGTTTGACAAGTGAGTAGACCACAATTCTACACCCTTCTCTCTCTCTCTCTCTCTCTCTCTCTCTCTCTTTCTCTCTCTCTCTCTCTCTCCTTCTTTCTCTTTCTTTCTTTCTTTCTTTTTCTTTCTTTCTGTTTTTCTTTCTTTCTTCCTTCCTTCCTTCCTTTCTTTTTCTTTGGAGAAGTATGTTTGACAAGTGAGTTACTCCACAATTCTACACCCCTTCCTTTCTTTCTTTCTTTCTTTTCTTTTTCTTTCTTTCTTTCTTTCTTTCTTTCTCTCTCTCTCTTTCTCTTTTTCTCTTTCTTTCTTTTCTTTCTTTCTTTTTTTTCTTTCCTTCCTTCCTTCCTCCCTTCCTTCTTTCTTTCTCTCTCTCTTTCTCTCTCTCTCTATCTCTCTCTTTCTTTCTTTTTCTTTCTCTTTCTCTCTCTTTCTTTCTCTCTCTTTTTCTTTCTTTCTTTCTCTTTCCTCCATTCTTTCTTTCCTCCATTCCTTGCTTTTGTCTTTGACTCTTCCATCCTTCTCTCCTTTCTTTTTGTTTAAAATTAGTCCTTTCTCTTTTTCTCCCCGTCAATTTCCCCTATCTTTCTGCTTGTATAATCTGTCTTTTTCTGTTGCATTCCTGCATTCATTTTTCAATTTCTTTTTTCCCATTATAAATTTCACCTTAATTTTTACAATTATTATGACTTACACCGACTATCCTCCCCTCCAGACCACGCCCTGACCCCTCTGGTCTGACGGACCGTCCCATGGAGGGTACGGGGGAGATCAGGAACGCTGGACTGGACCCCTCGCAGACTGGACCTCCTCCCAAGACGGAGGAACGGCCCACCATGGAGGAGATGCTCCAACAGGTGGAACAGACAGCGAAGGGAGAGACAACTCCTCAGACTCAATAAACAATTCTTAGGCCACACCAATTTAATTCCTTGGTTAACGGATTCGCCCGCTTCATTTTTTTTCTAATTTGCAAATAAAAATAAAAATTCACAATCAACTGCAAAATGCTCATATTTTGCCCTGAACAGTTGAAAACAGTCCTTTTCTTCCTAGTTGTTACAGTTATTTCATCTTTCATTACAATGGTATCATTAAAAGTTCAAAATTCATTGTTGAAATTTTGAACCAGCCTGGTGTGTTGACTTTATGGCTCCTATCGTACCATTTTGGGCCATAATAGGATGCCTAGTCCTGTTTTTATTTTTATTTTTTTTTCGCCCGCCCGCTCCATTATTTTTCTAGAAAAATCTGTTAACCAAGAAATTAAATTAGTGTGGCCTTACAAAGAATTCCAATCTTACACTCTGACCCAGTCGGTCAAAAAATACCAAATATACATCAATACTGTCCAACATTCCATGTAAAAAGACTACTTTCCTGTATCATATATTAAGTAGGAATTTTTCTTGTTTGTATTCCACTCCAATTTGGAAATGCTTGATATTTCAAAACTATGACCATCAACAATTTTCATAAGGTAATATGGCACCATGATAGTTGCATGAGAGAGAGTTAAATTTTCTTGTGGAATGACATGTTGCACAGATTGTATTTGTAGGCATGTTCTTGCTAAAATATTGGCAAAAATATATTATTATACATTGTGACATGGAATTATACATACAACTCATTTCCTTTCAATCTACTACAAACATAGACATTGGAAAAAGTTAAGAAGTATTCAAATCTACCTTCTTCTTCAGTCAAATGTCCAAACATGTTGATTACCAATACAGTGAAAGAGAGAACACTTATTATAATTTCTAAACTTCTCACAGACACAGAGACAGTACTAGTCTCATTGGTTTAAGTGGACAAACTCAGAAAGTATTTTCAAAGGCCTCCAGTGTTATATCATACATGTCATGTAATAACAATCTATGCTTAATAATAGTTAAGTCAGGTATACATTGCTTTGAACTTCTCACATACAGTCTTCAACAGTGAATTGATTCATAGTACATAATAAGACAAAAAATGTAATGTCACAGATTTCTGAAAACTTCTCATGTCAAAAACTTCTCTGTTATTCTCCCAAGTGTTACATTGCCTAGAGCTGCTAACTATACCTCTGTACCTCTTTCATGAAAAAAATATCTTACCTCCTATATGGTATCAACCAAGTTATTGTGTTACATGTACTGTAGTATAGTCTGTATGGTATCTTTTTTTGGAAAAGTATGATGGCCAAAGTGAATTCAAATCTTCCACCATATTATTGTATGGTAGCATGACAATTGGGATGAGCTACAAGAAATGAAAAATAAGTTGAATTTGAATTTCTTATTTTTCAATTTTTTCTTATTTTTCAAGTTTTCTTATTTTTCAATTTTTTCTTATTTTTCAATTTTTTCTTATTTTTCAATTTTTTCTTATTTTTCAATTTTTTCTTATTTTTCAATTTTTCATTTTTCAACTTAAAAGTTGAAAAATGAAGCAGGTTTACAAACCAAAAACCACACTTTAAGAGGACAACATGTATTATAAGGTCTACTGATAATGGGGGTTGGTTCTCATGATTATGCAAACTGTATATAATATGTGCCAAGAACATTTTTACCTGTTTGTATGACAAGTAAAGAGAATTCAGTACACAAGAATACTGTAGTTTTTCAGATAGAGTTTGCTGTGTGCCATTTTCATATAGATTATAGATTTGTTACGAGCTTAAACAGTTGTGTGCTGCAATATTTTATTGCGTTTGTTCTCTAGCTGCACTCCCTCTAGATCTGTTGTATTTATGGCTTTCAAAATAAAATGTCTATCGGAACTGGCTTTTTTCAATGTTTCCATCTTTATTTACTTCAGTTAACATAGCAGAAATATCTACACCTTTTCAAAGCATGTGTTCCACGAACTCTTATTTATTCATTAAAAACTTTAAAAAGTTGTAAACATGAAACATACGTTTGTGACGTCAACTACATATAGCGTGCAGTCTAATCAGACTGATATCTCTATAAGGCCACAGCAAGTAATTTTTATGGATGACATCCGCGCGCGCATTGATTTTCGCCTGATTTTGGAAAAAAAAGCAAGAAATTTTGTTGCCCTTTGACGGTGGTCAACATGCCGAAAATGGAAAAAATGCCTTGCCTTGCCATACTGCAACGTGTATGGCAGATAAACATGAATAGAGGAGACAAGACAAGGCTCTGATTTATTGTTTTGGCTTTTACTTTGATGCGGTGATGTATTTTATTCCTTTTATACGTTCCCACGGAATCAAAACCATTTGTACAATGATTGAAAACTTTCCCTTTTCAAAGTTGTTTTAGTGACAAATGGATGTTGTGATAGTTGGCAGTAAAGTTGGCACTATATAGCTATCGTTTCTTGTTTAACAGGGTTCATGATGTCAAAATTTCAAAATATAGGAATCTTGTTTTTTTTTGGGGGGGGGGCCGTCTTGTTTTTTGTTCGCCCGCTCGCATTAGATTTGGAGTCTGCGGAGGATGTCATCCATAAAATTTACTTACTGTGGCCTAAACACATACTACTTACTGGGCATAATTGCACACAAAATAAAGACCACTGCACTATATGAAACACGATTTATAAGAAAGGGGTGGGGCTATGAGCTTGACAAAGGCGCAACTTATATAGTTGTCTTTTTAGACGTCTTTTTCCTATATAAAGTATCTTTCACCGAAGTAACGTATTCTAATGTTTGGTCCTGTGTACTGGGGAGGTAGAAAAATGAGAAGTTGAAGGTAAGGTGTATCTTATAGCTGATATTAGACACATGCCTATTTAAACACCAAGGTTAAGTTTTGCAGACATGATCAGCCAGTCCTTATAACAAACTGCGCATTTAGCGGGCTTGGGCATAAGAAAAAATTAATATCTCTTAATAGGATTTTAGTACCAGTAGTACACACTAAAACCATTACGGGTAAGACATACTCGAGGACACAGGCTTGAATAAATATTTAGGTAGGGTTAGAACGTTTAAAACAACAGATGGTCCGTTAACGTTCACGTCCCCTGTTCAACAGACTTACAAGGTACGGTACTGTGTTCAGTTTGTGTTTGTTACGAGTAACCCGGCCGGATATTTCTCCCCCTTTGAGTTGACATCGGTAGCCAGTTTTTGAAGTTAGACACCATCAGCGATCGAAGGTGAGACATACCCTGGAAGCCAGAACTCGTTTTTCGGGCCGCAAGAGCCCTTCGCCCGCAGGTGCAAATTACCGCTACGGGGGAGTCTAGCCCGGGGGTAGTTCTAGGGCCGGACAAACCCCTCGGGCTCAACTCCCCCGTAGCGGTAATTTAGATAGGCGGGCGAAGGGTTCTTGGCTGCCGAAGGAAAACGGCTAACGGCCCGATACTAGTTTGGCATCCAGGGTAGCTGTTCTCTTCTGTATATATGTTCACCAGTTAGTGATGTCTAGCACCAAGTCAGAGTTCACAGAACTGTGGTCTTAGATTCTGCATTGGTGTTTTCCACGCTCTGTTGGGCTCTTAGTCTCTTCAAGTCCGACTTGATGAAAGCTATAGACAAAACAGTAAAGACGCATTTATTGCAAGGTTATAGACTTTTGGTCAAAATCTTCGGGAGGGGAAAAATAGCATGAAAGGAATTCGAAGACATTTTGATGCTGCTGAGACTGATCGAGAACGTTAACGACAACGGGGAAAAGTAGAAACGTTGCAAACTCAGGGTTCGACAAGTTTTCAAAAATGCACTTGCCCGAGCCTGAAATATACATATTTCTATGTATTTTTAATACCAGCAAGGAAATTATCTTTTTGATATATTTTGGAGTTCATAATGTTGGATGCTTTATTTATCAAAATAAGGTGGTTTGACTTGCTCCAAACACCGTAGTGGCTCTACTTTGCATCCCAAAAACTGACTTGCCCATGCACCTGCCCGAACAGTACTTTTAAGTTCTGTAAATAACTTCATCAGGTTGGTAAATGAATGAATAGTTCTTTGGTCACAACCATTTATTTTTGACGAGCCGACGTTTTGATGACCGTCTGTCATCTTCATCAGGGTAATTCTGACTGGACGATAGATGTTACTTGGTGCATAGTTTAACATCTGGCGTCAGTGCATTTTTCCTACTGCACTGACGCCAGATGTTAAACTATGCACCAAGTAACATCTATCGTCCAGTCAGAATTACCCTGATGAAGATGACAGACGGTCATCAAAACGTCGGCTCGTCAAAAATAAATGGTTGTGATCAAAGAACTTTCCTATTCAGTACTTTTACTTGCTGAGGGCAAGTGGGCAATTGGACTTGTCCAACCCTGAAACTGGGCAAGGTGAGATCGGGAACCGCTCTTCCCTGGTCTGATATGTAGCCCCTGACCAAAGATTTTGCCCACTTTGCCCACAGAAAATCGAAGATGAATTTCATTTTATCATGGAATGCTCTAGATATGATGTTCTACGTGATATGCTATTCAAATATCTCACTTCAAATACGACAGATTTCAATAGACTTGTTGCTACAGATAGATTTGATTACATATTTAAATGCAACAGCCCACACAATGTAAAAATAGGTAGATACATAAGACTGTTTTGTTATTAGAAATAATACTGATTTGTTGTCACATGTACCAATAAATAACTCCACCTGATTGTAAACTTTTGATTATTTCTTTTTTACATATAAGTTGTTAAGTTTTATTCTATACCTACCTATTTTACTATGCTACTTATTGTTACCTATTTGCCATACAATGTACCCTGTACAATTGTCGTGCAATAAAGTTCTTATATGTACCTGTGACGACAACACCCAGGAAGAGAGTGACGCACAGACACAGGTTCCCTGCCAAAGTGCTCAGGTTGTTCACCAGGTATCCTGTGAACAGGGTCAGAGCGATGCCAAATGTCTGCAGGACGGGACAAAAGTACCATTGAACATTTATCGTCTGTTCTCTACCGTCTATTTCAATGAAAACGTTAATTTAATAAAACTAGAAAAATAACATTTGCAAAGCAAATGCATAATGTTTTCGTACCTTCGCATATGGTCTGCTCTGTTAATTCTTACTCAAACACAGCCACATATGGTGAAATGAGTCTAAAATCCCTCCTACTATAAAATTATGTAACCTGACACCAGTTACCATGGTGACAGACGTCTGGTTTCAGGTCATTGACCAGGTCAGAGGTCACTGTTTGGAGAAGAAGAAGAAACTGAGCAAAAACAATACGTTTTCAGGCTATTGACCAGGTCAGAGGAAACTGTTTGGAGAAGAAGAAGAAACTGAGAAAAAACAATATGTTTTCCTTCGGTAAACATAACAACACAAGAACACCACCGTGCGGTGTGAACTTGAATTGCACCTACCTGTGCAGAGGCGTTGAGCAGTCCTGATGACGTCCCCTCCGACTCAGGGTACGTGATCTCCGCCGCAAACTCAAACCCGAGCGGCAGGTAACCCGTCATAAAGAACCTGGGGAAGAATACACAATGTTTGTCATACAATTGTGAAAGACTTGGAAACTTCTGCAAACAAGACTGGCAATGAAAACATACATTGCCATGGCGACGGTGGTTGCTGTTAGGGTTATTGTTTGCATGGCACTGCCATCATTTCATGATTATGAGGAAGACTCGGTACCTGTTAAGCCTAGACAGTTACAGTGCACTCCTCCCCTGAGTGTATAGTGAACGAGCCCCGGGGTCACAGAAAGTAGGGCCATCCGGGGCAGAGAGGTCTTTCCAAGGGTTTTCAGGGCATAGATGTGGGTCAGAGAAATGCCTGTGGACATTCCGTTCCTGTGGACAAAATGCCTGTACCAACTAGAATTCTTGCAAACTGCACACAATACTGTACCATTAGGCTCCTCCCTGAGACGTCACCAAAAAAAATTAAAACAGATTGAATAATGATTGAAGTAGTATCAAGATAACCGGTTGATATTTCTTAGAGTTAATCACAATCTGCAGGTCAATACTAATGCAATTACTTTGGCAATTACTTTGGCAAAATTTGTTATTTACAGATCTGACTTACCCCAGTGCACCTGCAGTAACGAAAACGATCGCTAGGTAGCCGAGGTCCAGCGTGAATGTAAAGGCCGTCATACATAGGAAGGACAGGATGTACACGACAACAGTTGTACCCCTGGAGGAGAGTAAGGGTAAGTTGTGAGAACTTAGCCTGGTAACCAGTCTGATCGTGGTCGGGGCCGTAAGAGCTCTGTCCCGCCCGCCTCACATAGGTTTCCCGGTGGGTATTTCACGAGAGATTGATTGGCCTTATCGTGTTGGGGGAAACCAAATCCCCAAGCATACTGTCTCTTATTAGCGTAACTCTCCTACCGGGACGGTCTGTTGCACTGGGCGGGGGAAGCTATTAGAGCCCCCGAAGACACAACCTGCCTGAACACCCCAACACCCACAATCACGTAAGACTGGATACCAGGCTATGAGAACTAGGCGGAAAGAAGTTGTGCCTAGCCTTCATTACAGCACTGAAAGAGAGACGTTATTTGAAATAGTCAATTTAAAATGTTTCTTAGCTTTAGTCACCTTTCCATCCTACACAAGAAACGGCATTTCTATTATTAAGGCCTATCAACACACCCTAATCCAAAATTGCGGGATTTTCATGCTACACTGCACACAGAAAAAAATCAGAAAGGAATCAAACCCAGCAATAGCTATATCAGAAGTGGCATAAGTAGTATTGTCTCTAGAGCAAAGGATCTGCCAATTTTGCGATTTAGATAAGATTGAAGATGAGTATCATTTCGTAGTCGATTGTACGTTATATAGTAATGAGAGAGATTTCCTATATTCTTGTATAATAGATAAGTTCCCTAGCTTTGGACATTTAAATGAAAAAGAAAAATTCATATTTCTTATGAAACTTGACAAACCATGTATCATTAGTTCTATATGCTTCAACATCTATAACTGCGTCAAGTAGCGAGAAGAAGTCGAACAATGTAAATAGTACATCACATTAGTATGTATAGTTTAAGTATCATTGCTGTATCCTTTTTCCTTGTCTATTCATGTCCTGTACTTAGCTTGTTAGATCACAAACGTACAATAAAGGTCTTTCATTCATTTTTTCTGGTCATTTTTCTGTTCACTATCATTCTATCATGTCCTATGTCCTTGCAATTAGCCCTCGGGCATGAATTTGCAATACATTTTTATATATCCTTAAAATAAACTTTCCTTTTTACCCTCCATGAAATGGTGATGTTGTTGTTGTATATCTAAAGATCCGTTGGACAGAACGGGGTGATATTTGACAGGTGGGTAAGTGGGGTGAAATGAATTGTGTAGGTCGACTTTGGACCCCTGATGATTGACATTGGTACTGCAGTAGGAATGTTCAAAAATACTTTTGGTGCCGAACGGTCTGTGATGACAAATAGAAGACAAAAAATACACCAAAAATAACAAAACCACAAACTATTTCATAGAGGGATGATGTCTTCAACTTCTTATATTTTTAAGTCTTGAGCAAGGGACATTGAGAAAGGGGGAGTGGTTTGGTAGAGTTGAATGCATGTAGAACAAATAAAATCTGAGATTTTATACCCCCGGGCTTTTTATTGCATATTTGTATATAGGATTTTAAACAAAGAATTTGTCGAGATCGGACACCCCTCTGTGTGAGGGGTCATATACGTGGACCAGACCGAAAATAGCTTAAATACGCCAAAGGTCAACGGTCGCGACCACTGTCACGCTCAAAGGGGTGTTTTGGGGCCACCAAAAGGCACCATTTTCACGCCCGAAAACACATATACAATAAAAGCAAAAGAACGTGCATCATCTGCAGCCCAATAGCAAAACATATACCGAGTCTCAAAAGAATCCGTCCACCCAAACGCGAGAAACAGCTGCGAACATGAAAATCTAAATCTCTCACAAAACCCTTCCGCGGAAGGCTATCTCCTCCCCCGGAGGTAAAAATCAGTTAGCAGTTATAATTACTTGAAAGTCCGAGTCCTGTCCAGCCAGATGCCGCACAGCACGGACCCCAGCAGGCCGGTCAACACGATGGTCAGTCCGATCCGACCAACATTCACCTCCTCCCCCTGCAATGTATAAAGTTTCTTTTGCTTTTAGTCAATTTTGTTTTGCTTCTTTGCTTGCTTGCTTCAAGTTCAACGCCTTTACTTTGATTTAAACTGTATTTTACATTCTGCAAAGCTCATGGCCTTATGAGAATTCTAATTTCGTTATGTTTGGAGATTTTTGTTATGTTGCACTAAGGGCATTAAGTCATAACCGTAGCGCCACCTACCGGATACTTGGAGAGCACCACCTGATTCAGCAGTGTGGAAATGGCGTAGAAGGACCCCGTGTTGATACCTGCAAAAAAAAAGACGACGTTATTTCTTGTTTTCTTGACATAGAAATATCCCAACACTTTTCATGACATAGAATTAGTCAACCTATTTAGTTTATGAGGGTTCCCATATACAGGGGTGAGTATACAATGCAATTTTACGGAATACTGTGCAATTGTACGCCAGAGTATACAGTGTAATTTTACGGAATACAGTGCAATTGTACGCCAGAGTAAGCAGTGCAATTTTACGGAATACAGTACAATCGTATTAGTATACAGTGCAATTGTACGAAATACAGTGCAATTTTACGGAATACAGTGCAATCGTACTAGTATACAGTGCAATTTTACTAGTAATTTTACTAGTACTGTATATTCTGGCACAGGCCCTGATATAGCTTGCTCAATATAGAGGGAGAGGGTACGTATGTATGGGAAACCCAATACTTTGGTCTCAATTGCACCAGTGTAAGATACCCTTACCATAGGTGATGACCAGAAGGACGAAAGGAACGCTCTTCATCAGTCTCTTGATGGAGCCGAGGTAAGAATATTCCGCGTCGGTCTCAGCGATGGTGGCCTGGGCGGGGCTGGGGGGAATGGGCGGCTTCTCTCTGAAAACTGGACATTTCGTCATGGTGTTAACAAACACCATGTTAACAAACACTATGTAAATATTGCACATTTAGGAATGCATCTGCAGAAGCGACACCTGTATACTGTGCTGCAGTGCAATGTGAACCAGTCAGAATTGCCCTGAGGAAGGTGACAGACGGTCACCGAAACGTCAGCTGAATAAAAGACTTGGTTGTGTATACTCTGTATATAATATCCAAGGCTACATATAACGACCAAGGTTGGCTGAAGTTCGGGAGCAGTCTGATCAGGTCTAGGCCGCGACCTACCTTCCTATTTAATACGAATCGAATTTGAGTTAAACTTGAGTCAAATGTCACTGCCAACTACGACCCTACCTACTCCCAAACACTAGGAAACCACCAACTACTGCCGAACACCCGAATGTTGACGTTGTTTGGTGTTCGGGAGGCCATACGTGCCTATGTGTAACATGAGTTTAGGAATTCAAAGAAGATATACTGTTTCAGTGCCTATAGCTAGCTAGCAGTAATTCGTAGCCTCACTTTGACTGACCAAATTCGTTAAAAAGGTTATATTCTAACACTGATGGCATCATGACAATCATATCAACAACCTGAGTAAACAAAGGTTGAAAAAAGTTCTATATTGTTTGTTCTCTTTTGATAAAAATTATATTTGAAACATCAATAATACAGGTATTAGTATTCTGTGTGCAAAAGTCACAATTTGCCCGAAATGGTGTATGCAAAGCAAAAAGGCCTTTCCTGCAAAGACCACTTGGCCGAAAATTACCCCAAAACCAATTCCCTGGGGAATGCGTTCGTGAAATTTTTCAAATCTTTTAAAGTGATCCTAATACTATGAAAAGCAGAGTTGTGACTCCTGCCGTGCCGAACATCATGACGTTCATGCCCCGCTCCACCACCGCGATGTCAGCGGCGTTCGGCACCAACACGGGCGGGATCAGGAATCCCAGCGCCACGCCGACCTGCAAAATACTACTGTGGGTCACCGTTTCTTCTGTCATTCTATTGTTAGGCCACACCAAGTAAATTTTATAGATGACGTCCGCGCGCGCATTGATTTTGGCCTGTTCCTAGAAAAAAAACAACAAGAAATTCTGCTTCCTGCAACTATGACCAAAGAGTCACGACAATGCCGAAAATCGTCAGATTGACGTGAAACCCGTAACGCGAAAACAGGACGGAACGACAACTGCTGTTCCACCCGATTTAGTGCTGTTTTGATGATGAATAAAAGACTTCTTGCTTGTTGCACTGTGTTTCCTCATTCAATTTGTGTCCTAACATTTGTCGTCTCTTAGTATATTTCTGATCTAGGCATCTTGTTTTTTAGGGCCCTTCTTGTTTTTTTTTCGTCCTCTCGCATTAGATTTAGGGTCTCCAAAGGACGTCATCCATAAGATTTACTTGGTGTGGCCTTATCGCATACAATAAATTGTTTATTGCAAATTCTTGCCCGGGAGCTAATTCCAAGAACATAAAAAACATAACAACAGACAATTAGTACATATAGAACTACTGATAACTACTAAGAAACTACTGGTAAAAACTACTGGGTTTGACTTCTTTTTTGAAGACAGAGGAAGACAAAAGATCCCACTTTTTCTGTAATTTGTGGGTTGTCGGGTGTTAGTTTTCGGATAGTAGAGGATAGTAGTTTTCTTTTCATTTGTATACGAGTATGTGTGAAAGTTTGGGGAGAATTTGGAAGCTACGTCAAAGAGTTCATTTCGTTCATTGCTATAGAGGGTACAATTTGAATGAGTTTCGTCTTCCACCGTATTCAACGTACAATGTTTGCAAATTCGTTCATACACTTGGAGCTTCTTGTACCGCCCTCTCTCAATTTCGAGAGGGTGTGCACTATTTTATCCACTCGGCCAAATGACCATCTATGGTGACCAGACAATCGTCAGAAGGTTATGTGTTAAGGTACACCATACATGGGGTTGCTGGTTTTGTAATCGGTTATAACTTGGGGTGTGATGTATGTATCTTTATGATATTTGGTAGGTAGGATGAGGTCGGGAAAAGGAAGGTGGAGGTAAATTTTGGGTACTCTAGCGGTTTAGTAAGGTACTGCAGCGGGGTACAGGGGATGATATCTCATGCTGTGGACATGCTATGGTCTTGATTTTTGAGTGGGACATAGATGCTTGGGCAGTAAGTATCTGTTGTGGTTTTCAGCGAAATAGCTGCTTTTCTGGAGCTGCTGTGGTCATCTTTATGACGGAATGTGATTAAAGGGGATAACTTTTCAAGTTGTAAATGTTTCTTTACAGTTTTTTGTAGGTAGCTTGTAGTGTGGAAAAAGAAGGTTAAGTTCTAGTGGCTTTTTAAGGTATTGTAGCGGCACTTTTTTGGTTTGAATTATTGAGTTATTTAAACAGAAATATAAAAATGACTTGCTGTTCGGCAAATCATTCTTTGATATGTAAATGCCTCTCTTGTGCAATTTGTATATGAAATAGTTTAATGTAATGTTGAAATGTACAGTACTAATGTGAATTACCAAAATTTGAATTTCACTAATGCTAAATGTATGTAATATCGTGTAAATATTTCTATTGTGTAACTCTATTAACCCATCTTGACTCCAAGATTGTGCAGTCGTTAATGTTTTAAAAACAGGATGTACATCTTTGAACGTAATTCAGCTTTATGCTGCAATGTTCTTGATTTTAGCAATAAACCATTTTTTATTGGTTGATTGGTTGATTGGTTAATTGGTTGATTGATTGATATCTGCCAGACCTGGTTTCCAAAGACGCCTATAGCCGTCGCCGTGGACACCTCCCTGGGCCCGAACCACACGGCGGCCACGCGCGCCGGCATCCCGAGGATGAAGATCTGCGCCACGGAGCAGACCGTCTGGGCGAACATGGTCACCGCGAACCGCTCCCGGCCCACCCCGGCCACCTTCAGCCACGCCCCGATACAGTTCAGGGACGACCCGAGCAGACCAACCACGCGGAGACCGTACCTGCTCGTGAAATTAAAATCGAAAGGAGGAGACAATTGACAATTCCTAATCATTCTAAATCGCTTCACATACGTGATCATTGCACGGTCATTTTGGTAAATCTATCAGTCGATCAATTAGTATAGTTTAATTTTTAAAATGTTATATATACATGTTTAAAGTTAAAACTTTTGGTCCAACACATCAGGGCCCATCACCCTTCATTGAACCGCGACGGGGGCCGACATCGTCTACCAGATACCTTTGACCCAGTGTTGACGTCACACTTCAAAGAAGCCACGTGACAAGCTTCACTAGGTCAGTCTACTGAGGAAGACCAGAGTGACTGGTCGAAAGCTCTAGGTGAGAGAATTTTTTTTTTTGTGTTGGAACAAAAGTTTATTTTAACTTGACATGTAACTACCAACACAGATGAACTTTCATGATGTTATATATACATGTAGCTTTAACTCATCGCAACTACTAAACCGACTGAGGCAAACTGTCTAAGTTCGCCATCGAAAGGACGGTATCAGACCGTTAACTATGGCCACTTCGCGATGCCAAGCTATTCTCTACCATGCAGACTGGTGGGTGCCGGTTGCCGAAAAAAAACGTGGTAGACACTGGCCAGAGAAGTTATCAGAGCCATTGAATTTCCAACACTAGGATAATTTCATAGACTCCAATGGCCAGCCTACTCTTCTGATAAAACATCCCCGCCCGCTTATTTTGACCAATTTCTCACATTTTCCCCATCGGCCAAGAGGACTGACAGAGACTGGTGACGGGCCCGTGTTGTCTTTGTTTTCATCTATACGCAAAAATAAAGTAATAGATAAAACCGTACCTATCCAGTGTCCATGTGGCGGGAAAGATGAGCGGGATGTACGCCAACATGTACACCATGGACAGCCAATCCACGGCCAGGATACTCACGTTATAGTACCTGTTAACGATAACAGCTTTAGTTGGCTTGAGGCCACAGCAAATAATTTATGGATGACATCAGCGCGCGCATTATTTTTCGCCTGATTTTGGAAAAAAAAAATTAAAACAAGAAGCCATAGGTGACAATCCTCCGTGAAGTTTTATATTTTGCAACAAAAATAATCCCAAGCGTCAACGCCAGACCCACTGTGCAGACATAAGGCAACGGTTAATACAATGAGGGCACGTCACAACCACAAAACATAAAAAGACCTAAATCCATTACTGCTCTCAGGGCGTGTAAAGATACTGTGCTTCAAGTTCGAAGTTCATTTTAATTACACACACACAATCATTGCATTCACATAAAGATCGGAGTATCATGGCCGTGTCACTAGTAACAAAGACAGCCCCACCGTCTTACCGTGCCTGTTACTTATTAAGCGCGACTGGCAAATTCCAGCAACAGTTCCGGCCAGCACCGCGAGTGTTACTGCCGTGGCACCACTTATCGGCCCCTCACATCTGCCTGAAGCTCCACCCCCCCCCCACCGCTATTCCAAACAACGGGTTTTTCTGGACCATTCCAATTTGCCTCATAATTGTAGGGGTGCACTGTTTTGCCCTTTGACGGTGGTCAATATGCCGAAAATGGGCAAATATGTTGCAAAGGCCTATCGGTTCAGAGACCATCAGGGATCCAGTAAACTTGAGGCGCAATGGTTTGTGTTTGATAGCAAATGTTAACACTGACATGATCCATCCAACCCAGATAGTAGCTGCCCATGATGGTACGGCTAGCCGTTTTGCTAGAATTTCTATAATTGAGGTCTCTGCACAAGGACAGGTAATATTGTTGAATACAAGAATAAAAGATCCGTTTGGTTGTGGTATAATGTTTTGTCACCTCAATTCTTGTTTATCAAGGCTTATGACCTCAAAATTTGAAAATGAAAGAACCTTTTTTGCCAGCTGCCTCATGACAAACTTACTCACTCATTTTAACAATCACCTCCATCAACAATAACCAAAACACCATTATCATCACCAACATAAAAGAGAATGACGTCGCCGAGGCGTTTTTAAACGCCACCTTGTTTTAGCTTTCCCCCCGTCCAGCTCAACAGACCGCCCTGTAGGAGTGTTACGCAACATCGTGCACAAGAAAAGGCTTGGGTTGGAGAACTTGAAGTTCTTTGTTGATTATTTGACTTAGAGAAACATCACAGTAGCGTGCGTAGTCCAGTGGTTAGCGACCCTGCCTCTGGATCGAAAGTATACTATTCACACTGCGTAATCACTGGATCATCCTTAATGAGTTATGGAGCAGTGCCTACGTCGCTCCTCTCTTCCGTCTATCCCATCTCATATCCACCTTTTCCTGTCACCTCTTTACTCAAAACCCCATACTCATTCCCACACTAATATCTCCTCTATACCACAAGGCGTATTCTCCTTTAAACAGACCGTCTCAGATATCCTATGTCAAACATGAGGCGATAGATCCCATTGTACTGTTCATCTTTCTTTCGACCGAATGGACTGAGGCCAACCTCTTTCTTCAGGATCTTAATATTCCCAAATGTTGTGCGCTGTCTGACAAAGATGCATTTGCTATGGGTTGGTTCCCATAATACTACTTCGCATGCCATCGGCTCGGCCTGAGTGTTCCCCGTAGTATCCATCGAGCCCAGTACTTCTTATCCTTATCTTATCCGGCCGACCGTGGAGTCTCTATAATAACCTGAGTTCCTCCCATGATTCTCCCGTACCACGTTCAGCGCTCTCCTTAACATTCGAGTACCTAAGCACTTTCGTGTGCTAATCTCGCGACCATACATCAGTACATACCCGACCATAGCTGTGAAAATCTTCCCTTGAGTGTTGGAGTCGTATACCCTTGCCATTCTACGCAAAACTTTCCAGATATGCGTCTGTTTCACAATGATATCTCGAGCTGCTGAAACCATTCACTTTCCTTCTTCAAATTACCCCAAACTGTGCACCCTCTAGAACAACTACCTCGTTGTCTTCCAAATCGGAAGGTATTGGTTTATCTTTACCGTGCACTGCAGGTCAAACCTCTAACGCAGATGGAAGAGTAATACGAGTCCTTTCTGATATGTCAGGAACCGGCTCTAGGTCACCCGCATAGTCTACCCCCACTCTTGTTGTTAACTCTCTTTGGAGCAATCCCAACTGCTCCCTTTTCCCGTTGATGATAATTTCAATACGATAACAGGAAAGTATCATCGTATCGCTCTGCGGCACACTTGCCGATATTTGAAAGGACTTGATGTTCCTGGGCCCTGACCCCGGTCTATGCCCACAAGGTGCTACGTATACCCTTGACGACACCTGCATATATACCTTCACCGCCTACCCCACATTGAAACCAAACTGCGGGTTTCCCTGACTACCATACTGGTTTGCTTTCGCAAGTAGTGTCGGGTTACAATCCTTACAAACCACCCTAACTTAATCATCCTTCTGCCCTCTGTTTCGGCCGCATGACTCGGAGAGATAGCACACCCCTTGAACATTTTTCCTTCTCTAAGCTTCAGTTTCCACCGGAACTTCAGGAAAGCGTTACCCATTGCAAAGGGGTTGCCTGGAACCTTTGTCCCTCCCGTAACACATAACTGACCACCGAAACCTCCTCAAGATTGCTCGGGAATTGCTCCGTGAGGGAGACATGACCACTTAAAATCTTTCTCGTACAAGCCTTTCGTCCAACCTATTTTCCTAACCTAAAGTATCTATACCTCCCCATTCTTAATCTGCCCCACGTGCTTGATTCAAGCTTGGAGCTCTTGATCGCAATTTGAGTACAACAGTCGCTTTTCCCTGCCTAAACCTGTGATTGTCACCCCGAAAAGAAGACTACTTCGATTGAGTCCTGTCTGATCCTCTGCCCATGTACATATGTACACCTCTCTCGCCGATCTTTCCTTTGTCACGTGGAACTTGTACGAGTGATCACCGAGGCCAGGATTTCCGGTCTCACGGTACCAGACCCATAGATTACCTTCTGAAAAGATTTTGCTCCAACCTCGTCTTTGTCCACACACGTCCTTTCACACGATGAATGACTCGTTCTTCAGCTGTTTAAGATGTTCTCACTTTATACTAGATTCGAGCGCCACCGTTTTCTTCTCTACACTCCCTGGGTCTCGAATGCATATTTTCACCTACTGACAGCAAACAAAAGTGACTGCGGGTCGTTCATTTCCACTTGAGCACTTAATGACTCCTTGTTAGCTTTGGAACAATCCTCCAAGTCAATGATTGGCGACTCCTTCTTTGCTCTATTACCGTAGAGTCGACGTTAACGTTGACCAATGGCCTTGTTACATTCCCCATGACCTTTGACACGGCTCGGCTTCCTTCAATAACGCCCTGTCCCGATCTGATAATTCTCTATCCGGTCGACAGGAATATCACCAGTAAAATTCACTGAGAACTAGTTCACTGGGAACTTCAACCTTCCCAATCCGTCACAGTTTACAGATGTAGCATCGTTGCATACTCCCTTATCTAAACGTAGTTCCCGTACCTTGTTACCATGTATTATCCAAGACACTCGGTGCACTTTGTTCTCGAAATCAGCGGCTGCATGGGAAACCCACTGCACCAATTTATTCTGACACCTTTATTAAACCACCCTTTGGTCGTGCCATTTCCACCCTAAAACAATCCCCTCACTAATTCCCGTTAAAATACGGTGTGGGAGACGGGCGCATCTGAGAATGACGTTGCTGGTCACTTAACTTGCCTCTCTATGAGTGCTTGGACTAGCATGTGTCAACCACTCCCTTGAGGAAATTCAGCAAAATTACACCTGCACGACTTAACTTCTATAAAGCTTGCCGTGTGCACGTGCCTTCATACTCGGTCACCCTTCGGTGTGTGCTCGCACTAACAGGTGCTAACGAAATTTCAATCATCTAGAGCTCGCTCGAACCACTACATAGTGGACATCGTCTAAGTGACTCTAACCAACATCGACTCGCCTTAAGACCTGCATGAAGTTCATATCCTGCGTGTTTCCCCTCAAGTGGCCACATCTCCTACTACTTACACTGACGTGCACTATCCTGGGTTCTGAACCTCTCGTGAAGTGTGTTACCAATCTGTGTCCCCAGTCTATGTTCGTGCTGAACGTGTTAAAGAACACCAACTGGTCATGAGACAATGATGACCATTACGCACACAAACGTAATCTTTGTAATGGTCGAGAGATGCGTTGACGCTCATCTGTCCCCCAGTAAG